TAATCCTAATTGCCACGGATTCCGCCATTGTCAGGATCTTCTTATATGATCCTTTGGTGTGGTTCTTAGGCGCTGTGAAGAAACTTGCAAACGATGTTCCTGGGTCAATCTTGTATCCATTGTCGACCAGACTGAGCTGTTCAAACTTCTCGCTGTTCCTTTTCGAAGAGCGGCCGGACAACGTTCAGTTATACTCCTAGACAAACGCCTCGTGGTGTGTCCGATATAACGAACACTTCACGCGCACATAAACTGATGAGACAATGAATGGTCTAGTCCTCGATGAGAGTCTGAAATGCGCCGAGGGGAATGGCTTTTGATAACCGATGCTCCACGGTTTCAAATGGTCTGTTTATCTTGAATGAGGAAGTTGCTTGTGTGTGTGTGTGGCTCCGTTGCGGAACAATTCCAAAACAATGAGCCGTGATGGAATTCGTTTTTTTGTTAGATGCATAACCACTCGTCCGGATATCCAACGCTGCAAACCTGGGAACGGCCTATTAAACTGTACCGGATGGTGTTTTGGGTTCACGGGGGTTAAGTGGATATTTTATAGCAACATACTGAGCAGTGCGCGGAACATAACCTTGTTATTTGGGCTGAACTTCATTTATTTTTTTCATCAGTTAACTTCGAACCGCTCAACACGCGATGACTAAACGATCAGGATCGGAATCGAATGCACGCACGCACGCTAGCTTTGCCGCTAACTATAAGAACCTAAGAACCTAAAACACTTGGCAATAAGCTCTTATTCGCAACCCCCGAATCATATACAGAACCAGGAACAGCACGAGTAAAAACACTCCAGTCAACACGCATCAATTCATGACTCCGATCTGTTTGTTTCCAATGCGATATAGCGTAACTCATCCTTGACAGTTCCAATATGGAGGGTCAATGGCGATTAAGTTTCATTGATGTGCATTGTTTGATACCGATGAGTAGATTAACGATCGGAACGAAGCTCCAACAGTCCTTTCGTAGTGATCACAAAAAAGACATTATCATTGAAAGTGTGCATAATGAGTTACTCGGACACAATCACACAACGGGAACAGCTAAAAACTTCGGTAAACTGGAGACACAATCACGAACAAACGCACTTACCACTTCCCCTGAACTGTCGGCGAATGGGAATAGTATACTACTTGTTATCTGTTTCCAGTAGAAATTGCTCAGCACGTTCACCTAACTATATTCTGTTTTTCAGCTCTCCGCACACGCATTGTGTGACAAATAAAGCCTAACCTGCGTCATCGTGAGTTCTGAATTAACCTGTGTCCGTGTGTGTACGACCGATTACAGCATGCGTCACAATCAAACGCGGTTGTTGAAAGTAGTCACTAGTGAGTCATACAGTTAGTAAAGGAAAGAAAAGTGTGAATATACAAACGGAAAAGACCTGTCACGGAAACACACGATTGACATCATTGGCAACTTAATGAGTCAGTGAGTCACTGCCTTGAAATCACACACCTGATAAAGGGCTCGTCGGACGAGCTAAAACAACTGATGACAACGGTATGGGTTAATCGTCCTCACTACCAGCACCATCATCCTCCTGTAGCGAAATGCAGTGAAGCGAACTTCGCTTATCACTGTCATGTCCATCGTGTACTGAAACTCTAAGGTGGATGGATGAACAGTGGGCCAGTTTTGAGGCGGGCGAGCCAGGCCGGGNGGCGGGAAGTAAACCACTACAGTCAGCATCCAGAGTTTACATTCTGACTGTGCATACAAACCTCTTCAGGTATTTTGGTTCGATGAAAAATGACAAAAACACCACTGCTGTCGGTTCGGTTATGTAGTCATCCAGACATCAACCCGGGGAAACGGTAGTCTGTTCTTTAGTGGATTTGGTGCTGAGGAAACTGAGTGCGGAACCTATCAAGAAAATCCCTTGCTCGAGTGACCGGAAAGTGCACACTGATCACAAGTCTTCGTGGAATTATTGGATTGCACCACCTCATTAGATAGAGCTGGTCTCTCTCTCAGCTGCCTACCTGAAGATCTAACGACAGAAGTGTTGTCAAACCTGTCTAATAGGCAATGTCAGTGGTAGAACTTTATCTCATGAAGACACCCTATATACATTATTTCTCAGTTTCCTTTCCGTGACCACTTTCTCGATGTCTCCATTCAGAGGTGGCACACAGACCAAATTGCAGTTCAAGAGTTTGTGAGTAATAATGATAATAATAATATTAATAACAACAATAATAAAGAGATTTGCTAATGTGAGAACGACGCGCCGAAGCAATACTACGGATCGTTTAATTTAGCGGAAGGATTCGAACACTGTCGGAAAAACCAGATCAGCTTGTTGAAAACCTGACTGAAAACCGGGAGGATGAAAATATCAATTACCTTGAAATCTTGTAGCGCTTTACCCGCTTGGCGTCGAGTAATCTCCGCGTCGATAGATTTCTTTTTTTCCTCTTCCGCTTCTAAACGACGTTTGGCCTCAAGTAACTGTTGAGCATATTTGACACGTTCTTCCAACGGTTTTTCCGAGTCAATCGGGTCCCCGTTCTCGATTACGGATGTATTACCACTACTGGTGGGCGCAGCGACCGTGCTGGACGTGGCGGACTGAGCCGGTTGTGTTGGTGATGCACTTGCAGAGGATGAAGCCGGCTCGGGTTGGGGGCTGGGTTTATCCTGTGAAGCTACTACTAAAAAGTAGCCAAATGAACGTTGATAAGCAAACAGGAAATAAAAAAAGGAGCTGAATTGTTACTGAGTTACAAACAGAATATGCGGGATGCATGCATCAGATTCCAGTGAACCTGAGGAAACATTTCAACTAATATTTTTCTTNNNTTTCAACTAATATTTTTCTTTTTCAGTTCATTTTCATTCCTTTTATTTAACATGCTAAGATACAATTTTCAAGAAGGGGGAAGTGGCCAATCAAAGGGCAGTCATTCAACGCACAGTGGGGAAAGTCAGATGGTGGTGTTGGGATTCGAACACACCCCGGGGTGATAATTTGGTGACATTACCACCGGGCCACCACCGCATATAAAACAAAGGCTTCAAGTAGTCATTAACGCCCTCCGTTACATACATTTGCTTGTCATAAACGGAATAGACCATAAGAACAGCACGATATAAATCAGAGTGGGTGATGGTATTAAATTCAGAATAAGAAGGCGGAAGTCCGATCTCTCGAGGATCAAACGGGTTCAACGAGTCACCATCAGCTAACTCG